GTCTGTGTGTCCAGCAGCAGTCGGGCAGGACGCCGACGCCGCCGCAGCAGTACGGCGCCGCGCCGCTCAAGGCGCACAACGGCCTGCACGCCTCGCCCGCGCACCTCGCCAGCGCCGCCGCGCACGCATACGCACAGGACGGTAAGACAGTCCAGTACAACACCACTCTACTACCTAACAAGATCTGCCAGAATACTAAAAGTTACAGTTAGTCATTAGACATCACATAAGGTACAGATAAAATTAAAGTCTTGTGATAGTTTTAATTGTCTTAAATGGGAGATTCTTTAGTATATATCTCTTACCTCATATGTCTTCGAAATGTTAAGTGACAACTTCTAGTACATTCTTTGAAGATCCTGGAACTCTCTTCTGTTGCTTAACCACAAAAAGGCTTTTAGTGTGTCATGCCGCACATAATCTTGTCTTTCTCGAAAAAAGCAATGTCTTTTGAAATGTTTCCTCACCCTGACACCCAAAAAGGATACCTCATATCTTGCAAACTGTCTTCAGTTCACTTTTAGGAACCTACCAAATTTTAGAAGTTAGTAGTAGTAGTAGTAGTGTAGAAGTTAGTAGGCTTTAATAAATCACGCTGGTCCAGATTACTAATATCCATGTTGTATTGTGTGCGGTGCAGACCGGCAGTCTGCGGGCGGCACGCTGCGCCGACAGCGGCTGGAGAAGATGGCGGTGCCGCCGCCTGATGTCACCGTGCTGCACCAGGGGAACTGCAACCAGGTAACATACTGACAAAAAAATAATTCCATAGGTTATTTCTCTGCATCAAATATTAATAGTCCTGGAAAGGGTAGATGTACTTTGGTTTTTGTTACTTGATGATGAGTGGGAAGGGAAGAAGGGCTTTAACATAGCCTTCATTAATAAGTCATGCGACTGTCTAACGCCCTAAAATGCCAAAATAAGGACAAATGTTAATCTTTATAGCTATCATAATCAGGATTTCTCCCACCTTGTCCTACTCCCGTAGGTTGCAGAGGGTTTTCAATACTCCAAATAACTCTATCATACGTTATCTCATCACTTCCTTCTTGATCATGTCACCTTTCATGCAATTCATCACCTTTTTGGTTTTCTTCACACTCATAAAAAACTATCAAAAACATCTGTTTGTACCATACTTAGTTTGCAATACGTCAATTAATAGATAAAATTTCTTTACAGCACTCTCAAATGTCACAGACGCCGTCAATAAAGCAGCCACAATCTATCTTAAAAGACCCATCGCGACACAAGTACACATCGTACAGTCCCGCGGCGCCGCTCGGCACGCCGCACAGCGCGCCGCACAGCGCGCCGCACGCCTCCAGCCAGATACTGACAGTGCAGACGCTGGACGTGCCGCAGTACGGCACCATACGGAAAGACAAGAAACAGAACGTCACTATCGACGAGTCCTACAACAAGAGAACTGAAACACACGTCGTCTAAACTAGGGTTGTAACGGACACCAATTTAACGGAAGCGGATGCGGATTCGGATGTGGAGGCGAACGGCTTCACCTCTCAAGCGGAAGTTAACGGAATCGGAAGCGGAGGTCATAAAATATTAATTGCAATTTATTCGTGAATTAATTCAAAATATTGATTGGTACATAATTAAAAGATACAGTTTGTTATACGAGTACAAATGTAGTATGACAATTACAGTTGATATGACTCTCGCGCGCATAAACGGTACCTAATCGCCCCATTCGTGATAAAGACGTATATAAACCTCCGTTATAACTCCGCATAAGAAATATCGGAAGCGGAAACGGATGCGGAGTTATCATTCTTGCGGAAGTGCCTCACTTGCGGATGCGGAAGCCGAGTTCCGTTACAACCCTATTCTAGTAATAATGTGCGAGAACTATACGAGTGTACGAGTACAGAGTGTTATAACTATAGACGAGTGAAATGAGTGAAGTGTAAATATGTGAACTAGTTAAAATTTTTAGATAGATTTAAAAATTTCATTAAATGTGATACGATTAGTATCGAAGTGCGTGTGAAATCGATTTTCGATTCGATAGACGTCCAAGACATGAACGGTTGTTTCGTATTCGTTAGAGTAACGAGTTTCTTATCGATTCCCGCGACGGATCTCTTTTTTTTTTTAATTAAGCATTTCTTTAAGTACTAATTGTTACGGATATTGTCTTTTACATTTTATGGGAAAATTGTAAATTTTCGCCCCCAGTTTTGAGAATTGTTCGTAAGGCGTTGATTCGCATATTGTTATTGAAATTAAAAAATATATTTTGAAACTTATTCAATGTGCAAACCTTGCTTAGGGGGATAATCTTTTTAATTAAGTAATGTTGAAGCGTCAATTGTATTATTTGTCACATTGTCAGACAAGAGAAAACAAAACAATGTAATTTAGAAATAAGTATGTCAAAGAATAACACAAAAATGTAAACGTCAAAAAAATGTCAAACCACAGATTAAAAACAAAAATGACAGATCTAAAGATTTTGAATTTGCAAAAAAATAACACGAAGTAAATGTGCGTCAAATTTTTAAGTTGACATTTTTTTTGCAATAAACTAACCGTAAATTAGTAAACATTGTAAATATGATTGCCTTTTTTTACTACATTGTTTTTTTTTTAATTAATTTAAAATTGTAACGTACTTTATTTTGGTGAAAATTGACATTTCGATGTGTCAATTTACTTTGGAATTTGACAGTGGAAAGGTATCGACAGAATTGTGACGCGATGAAATATTAATTTTTTTTTTTTAATTTCGGCAAAGGTTTGACAGTTGGGGTTGGACCCTTTTTTGGACCTTTATATTTGAACCTTTAATGTTTTAAATTATTTCCGCTACTGTAAATAAATGTGAATGAATACTCAAATTGCGAACTGACAATAAACGATAAGATTTTTTTTTTAATTAACTTAATATATTTTATCTCCCAGCTTAAATTCATTGTAAATAAATTATGATAATTGTAATTTTTCTATTAAATTAATAGCTTTTCTACTCCAAAATTTAATCGGTTTTAATATGAATACCAAAGTTTTATTAATTTTATTTTTACTCTTAAGCAACTTGATTAATTTTTATTTTTTTTATCTTTCGTCAATATTTTGTGTAACAAATAGAAATAAATAAAAAACAGACTGAATGGATACTTTGAAATTCTAACATTTTTTTCTTTTTTTAAATTTAAAAGAATCCATCCAATGACGAAATACGACTTTATATTTACAGATGGGTCATATAATGTTACAACCAATCAAATTTGAATAAAAAAATAATAACATTTTTTTTGTTTTATTTTCTTCCTTTATTTTTTTTTAATATTCAAATTAAATATTCAATTATTGAGTACATATCAAAAAAAAGTTTTTTTTTAATTCGCTATCATGCCAGTTGTTTTATCTTTTTAAGCATTATTTGCGTAAACATTAGTTAGTAATTGTAGCTATGTTAAACGTCCTTCTATATTAAGCGATAAATTTAGTCAAGTATAAACCGTGCCTTATACTTTTACGCCATTTTGAGATTAAAATATCAATGTATTTGCCAAAAAAAAAAACGTTAGACTTAAATGGAACGAACTTTTCTAGATTTTAAGCTATGAAAATTTCTTCGTTATCTCAATATAAATATCGTTAAAATAATTAAATTGTTCTTGGTTAATAAATACATTAAACCATTTAAGTTAAAATCTTACATTTTTTATTTTTTTTATTATACCTGTCAAAAGCGACAGTTAACTAATCTTTGCCATTTGGCAATAAAGTCACAAAAACCAAAAAACCAAATCTAAATTAAATAAAAATCTGTTTTAATTTAAATTATCTTTATTTAGTTACGATTTCTAATATAAGAATAGATTTAGGGATACAGATTAAGAAAAAAGGAATCGATCGTTTCTTTAAAAAATACACAAAAATTAGAAACTAAACAGAGTAAATAGCAAATTACATACAAACAACATTAAAAATTAAATGTGGCAGAATTAAGAAAAAACGCCAAATATCTTTGGGTTAAGTTGAAATTTCACATTTTAAAAATTTTTACTCGCTTATTTATGCATATATAAATCATAAGAAACATGTTAAAATGTATGAGATATCTTTTATTATATCTATTATTTTTAATACAAAATTTGCTGATAATATTACGCAGGCGCTTGTAAAAGAAACGATCAACCTTTTTTCTCATTCAAACATGACTGTCTTTTTTTCTAGACTAAGTGTTAGGTACTAAATACTAATAATTCCTTGTTCTTTGCTATATTGTTATTTTTAATAATTCGGTTATCATTTGCTAGATGTAAATGTTTAAAGATAATTTGGTGTGTTTTACAAGAGCTTGTCATAATAGTGTTAGTACTAAATTATTGAAAGTTCAAAAAATAATGTCAATACGTCTTAAAATAACTAAAAAAAAGATAATGTTAAAATAATTCATTATAAATCGTGATAAAAATAAATCATTCGATTGAATTATTGATAATTAAGTGTTGCTAGGTTATATTTTTTGTTGGAAAAATAATTTTTAATTTTTCTTTACAATTGTACAGTCTTTTTATTTAATATTCAATTTTTTTCAACCCAAAATCATTGTAATATAACCCCAATTCGTAATTTATTAAGGTTGTAAATCGTTTGATTCCAAATGTGATTTTGATATTACGTATATAAGGCTCATGACGTGTAATCAGCATAAATCGGATTAAAAATATATGTTAAATGAAAACGCTTTTATTTACTGTCTTGGCGGCAAGCCAGCAAGTCAGTAATATCCTAGCGAACGACGGAAGCATCGAAGTCTCGAAGAACACAGTCTACTAATATGTGCGATTTTTTTTATTCCGTGCGGACGAAGTCACGGGACACAGCTAGTAGAGTTATAAGCTTATATTCTAGCGTTTATAAGCTGTTATCCCGTCTAAGTCCCATCAAAATCGGTACATTAGTTCCGGAGATAACTCGAAACAAACACAGCCAAAAAAAATTTTTTTTAGCAACGTAAATACACCTGGTTTCAAAAGTGCATTTTTTAATATTAAGGGCTAACAATTGACTAAACTATCGCAGAACCGTTTAGTTGTGCAACTAAACAGTTGACTGCGAAACAATCAACAACCGTGCTATAGTTTAAACGTTCCAATTTAATTAACATACTACCTTTCGCCCGCAACTCCGTCCGCGTGGAATTAAGAAAACAACAAAAGTGAGTAGCCTATGTCTTCCAGACTATCCTCTACAACTATGCCAATTTTCATCAAGATCCATTCAGCAGATAAGGCTACAAACTCTAATCCATCTATCCATCTATCTAAACTTTCGCATTTATATTAGTATGATAAAATAGATAGAAACATACATATCCAATCCAAAACTATTTATTCAAGGAGTCATGAGTTCAGTTTTAGCAAAATTAATATTCACCTAAACTTGTAGTTAGTAGTTGAGTCCTCCATATAGTATTAGTTCCTCTCAAAATGTTCCGAGCAGACGTCCGCAAACACTACTACGAATGCCTTTGATGTTTCCGAGTATAAACATTTACTAAGAAATTAATTTAATTACTCATCTTACTTCTCACTATCTATACTATTATAATAAAGCGTAAACACACACTTCTTTGTTGCCTAAGATATCAATTACAGCATATTTTTAAACAATTCTTTTTAATAAAAAGCCCTACACTTACGTCACGCTATAGGCTATATATTTTAACGCCAGCGAACTTAGGGAGTATATTTTGGTTAAAAAACCCTAATGTGGGAAAGAGACCATAAGTTGCTGCCCACATCAAGGAAGCAAATCATGTCATTTTGACATTTGCAATTGATAATTTGACAAACGGAAACAATAATATAAAATTTTCATAATTTCATGCGGATGAAGTCACTCAGGAACAGCTAGTAATATTATAAATGCGAAAGTCTGGATGGATGAATGTTTGTTAGAGTTTGTAGCCTAAACGGCTAAACAGATTTTAATGAAATTTGGTACAGATGTAGATGATAGTCTGAAAGAAAATACAGGCTACTGACTTTTGTGGCCGAGAGTTAACAGGAATTGCGAGTGTCGCCCAACTACTTCGCTTCGCAAGAGATAAAGTCAAATTTGTAAAACTGACCGCCAACCTTCGCTAGTCGGAAAAGCTCCTTAGTAACGAAGAAAGTGCCGGTGAACATTTTGTTCACCTTCTCGTCTATACATTCTTTATTTTATAATTTGTTATAGATGCACTTATTTTCAAAGGTTTATACGTCTTGAGTTTTATATACATTTATGTAGCTGACTGTACTTCATATTAAATAAGCATTTAACGAGTCAACAGCTTTAATATTGGAATGCAAAGTTTGAGTCCGGATCTACGTATGTTAAATACGTTCCGACATCAAATGCAGATCCCAGATTGTGGTACAAGTTACAACAGATTAGCGAGATTGTTACTTAATCCATTTTTTTTGTGCCCGAGGGAAATGCATCTTACGCGTACTCCGCGCCGAGGGGGCACGCGGTATTTATGTGGGACTCTCCCCCCATAATGAGGTTGTTACCTAATCCTACCTCAATAGAGGATTTTACTTAGAACAATGCCTGAATTTAAAAGATAACCGAACTGAGACACGAAAAAGTTTGCTCTATATTAAATTCGATTTGTGTACGATTGTCAGATGAATCGATACTAAAACAAATTAAAATGATACCAGGTCACAATGTTAAGTATAGTTGTTTTACATTTTCTCGATTTTCAGGCGCGTGACGTCATCGCAACTTATCAAGAATATTTGTGAGAATGTTTTCGTAACATCATTAACAAATTAAATTGTACAGCACACCTATAGAGCGGAAATAACCTAACATATCTCATAAAAAATCAAACAAAAAAATGGGACCCACCTGCAAGCATTACCTTTCGGATAAAAAATGAATTATCAAAATCGGTCCACTAGCGGCGGA